CAATCAGGGAAGCCAGATTTACTCAACAATAATGTGATTCACTTAATGATCATATAAAATGGTCATAAAAATCAGCTCCAGTTATGCTGACTCGCTTAATGACTACATCACTTACAGATTGAAATTCTGGTCCCAACTCTGACTGTAAGTTGAGGACTTCCTGTACATTAGTTTGTTACTTGAAAGTGATGGATAGATCTGGGGAAACCTAAAGCTAAATTGAATGAAATGGGAATGATGTTTTAAGTATGTGGAGTAAAACATGAATAGCAAGGTTCAAGAATGAATAGGGGAAGAATGAATTTTGGTTGAAAACAAAAGTGAGTGACTCATATAAACAAAGCATGTTGCAATGTTATCTAACAGCAAAGTCAGAGTGTAAAGGGGAATTTAAAGCAAGAGGTCACCAACCTTTCAGACCTCAGGGGCCACTAAATTCATAATTTTAAATCCCGCAGACCACTAATATGATCTGCCTAATGATCAGCTGGGTGGGCGTGGTCATATGACTGGATGGGCGGAGCCAACTTCATGTCTATCACGTAGTGGAGTGCCTTGCTGGCCTCTACTCTTCCCTCCCAGCCACTTCTTGCCTGCCTGCCTGGGCTCCTTAGGGCCCCAACAGGAAGCAGTTCTTGGAGCTAAGCAGCCACACAAGAAAGAGTTGGCAAAACAGCTGGCTCAGTTCAAATTGGATCTAACCATGGAGGTGGCTCAGCAGAAGCACCTCACTGAGAACTACGAGCATAGGCTTTTCAAGCAGAGGGAAGACCTGCGGGAGTGCAAGGCCAGGTACCGGCGCCTAGAGGCTCAGTAGGCTGAGATGGTCAGCCAGTTCCAGGCCATGGTGCAGGGAACTGGAACAAGGCCCTCCGCCTCTTCACTACCAGTGACACTTGCCTCCAGCCTTTGTCCAAAGCCCTGTACCAGGAGGCTGAAGCAGACCCCAAGTTGGTATTTCTGCCCTCCTCTGACCAACACAAAAAGACCCCGAAGGGGGAGACTCTCTGCAACTACACAAATATTCATTGCACATATCCAGCCCAGGGACTGTAGTTTGAGGACCCCTGATTTAGTGCAATATAAAAAATGTAAATAATTTTTCTGTGGACTACCAAAATTTTCTTGCGGACCACCAGTGGTCCACAGACCATCAGTTGGTGACCGCTGATTTAAAGTACCTCACTCATTAAGAAGTTACTTAATTATAGTTTTCCTCTATTCACTTCTGTTCTATCCATTGGAGCTTTCTTTGGACTAACTTAAAGTTTGTTGATTAATTCAATGGCAACATTTCAAACAACTTTCATTTTAATATTTTATTTATTGAAGCATTTAGATACATTTCCATGGCTTGTCAGTTAACCTCTTGGGAAAAAATATTAGATACATGAAGCTCTACAATTCCCAATGAAAGAAAAACAAAACAAAATGGAAAAGTTGTTGTAGGGAAACAAGGCTAAGCACACTGTGTTCCATTGCTGATAAAAGTTCCATGACTATCAAAATTCCCAGGTAATCAAAACTGAAATGATATCAAATCAGGTTGCTTCTGGAATCATGGACTTTAACATCTCTTGCATATAGACACAATATCATGGAGTGCAATTCCTAGAACATGATGCCAGAGCAACCTTTGTGATCTGTCTCGATCCACATTAGAAAAACCATTTATTTATCTTTAAAACCTACATGGATGCAAAAAGACTAGCAGATGACCTTAATGAAGTTTCCTTGGCATGAATGTTGCAACCTGCTGGCCATAACACAGGTGAGTATGTCCTGTGGGCTTCCTTGTTCTCATTCAGACCTAAACAATGGCTTCAAATTCTTTGTATTTGGATTGGTAGACCTTCCATATCCACGAGAACCATGACTGGAAGAATATTTCATAGACATAAGGAGGAATGCCAGACAGTGGAAACCAACAACTGGGTGGAAGGTAGAAATCCAATGATTCCCTTTGGAAATTAAACACGAATGTAGTTTTTGACCTGTGATTGAAGAAAAGCTCACTCCTCCAAACATACACAGCTGCAAAGTTTCCCTGCCACAAATACTTAAACTTCTGAAAATTTATTATAGAACTTAAGTCTCATCAACATACAAAAGCTATTAAGCACAGTCCAGAATGCATTTAGTATTCCACCAAAATAAAATGAAATCCATCTATTTAATTATGCTGCTTATAGCATCCCATTGACAATTAGATAAAAAAAATTCCATAAAGTTTAATAGAAATCTTTTCAATAGTGACATTTTCCAACTACATTGGATTATTAATTCATGTTATCCACACTGACCTTGTTGGTTGGGGATGAGAACTATGATTTTAGTACTTCCAGAGACATTAAATTGAAAATAGCTAAATTACAAACACTGTAACTAGGGGAAGTGATAGTCTGGCTGATCCTTACAGTATGTAGGAAGGCAAGCTGTTGTGGTCTCCACTCTCACAAATCACCAGCATGACCAATGATCAGAAGTAGAATAGCTGCATATCAACTACATATACATAAAGTTACCTAAAGTAAACACAAAAGAAATAAAGGAGAATCATAATCAGATTCTCCTGTATTTTGAGAATTATTTTACCAGTCATTAATGGTAGTCAATAACTATTAATAATGCTCTAGGATAAACAGCACCTCAAAAAATATGATATGTACCTGAATGACTGCCTCTTTTGTAGGAAATGAAGGTCAAACTGGCCTAAGCCAGGGGTGTCAAACTTGCAGCCCATGGGCCGGATGCTGGTCGTGCCCCTGCCTGGTTTAGCAAAGGGGGAAAAAGTCCCAATACATCACGTGATGCCGCCGTGATGCCACGACTTTGACACACCTGGCTTAAGTTACTTCTAGTTAACTGATTTAGCATTCAGATTTTTCTACCTAAGGATTGACTTCTGCAGGAAGTTCTTTCAGATACACACTACTCATAGGCTCCCTCTTCCAATTTACAGGAATATACTTAAGTTAGCTTTTTGTAGATGATCCTGCCACATTAACACTCATGTTAGTTACTGCTCTGAGTGTCAAATACAGATTTAAGAGACATTGAGATGCAGTTCTGTTAACATGTATGAGATGCCTACATTACTGAACGGAACACTTTCTTAAAGACACACTTCATAAATACCCATGGAGTTCTGTTGTATATACTGTGTACATTGAAAGGTACAACAGCTTTGTATCTGCAAGGTGTCTTCAGCACTGAATTTTTGGAGATGCAGGTGAACAGTATAGGACAAATGGGACAAATTTCTAATTCCCATAAAAGGTTAAGTTCTAATTTGTTTTCAAACACACAAAAATGTTTAATACATGTTGTGTCTAAAACCAAACAGATATTTTCCAGTTGTCTGTCTTAATTCCTTTTATTGCGTTAAGATTTCTATAAATTGTCATTACTAATTGATCACATCTAATGTTATTTAACAACAAATGTTTTTGTTTGCTAACAAAGTATCCAATATTTATAGTAGTGGTATTAGTTGAAACAGCAAATCTAGCCAATATAAACTTTGTTGCTAATCCTAGCAGAATTAATTGGCTAGCTTTTAGAATTTCAATGTATTCTTACCAAGAAAACCAATATCGCTTTGCATGCACTCACTTGCTATGCACATAGCCCATTATTATTATTTTTTAAAAAAAACTTTCTTACAGTTAAAGCCAAAAAAGCCCTATCACAAATATTAGGAAGAATAAGTTTTACTGCCCATTTCAAAATCTATGATGGGATGCAGCAATTGAGAATTTAATATTAATAATCTCTATATACATGTTAAATTCTCTTCTCCATACAGATGTAATACAAACACAACTCCTCTTATTGTTGACCATTAGCTAGCTGGGGTGGCAATAACAAAATCCAATCTGATAAAGAAGGCTTTAAGCACTATCAAGCAGTCTTCTTTAGGGGCTACACAAAGCCACGCTGTTATTCATATGTTTAAAGGTCATCTATGTGAATCAATCATATTGCCACAACTGTTCAACACTGGGGTAGGGAGAAGTTATCAAGAATATTTAAGCTGATTTTATGTCATTTCTTCTTCCTAGTCTATGAAGGCAATGTTGTGTAAGCAGTGCCTCCAGAGATCAAGTACTAATGTGCTGAGATTTATTAGCCTTTACTCCCTCCATGTGGTTGTTGGCAAAAAGACCACTCCACATATATTTCTAAATGCACTAAAGTGAAATATTTTCATCTGTTTGTTGCCCCCCCCATGAGAAAAAAGATGGGACAGAATGAAATAATCAAAACATTGAGTACATGTATAATCCAGAAAGTTCATTAAATATATATATTTTGCTTTAATTCTACTTCTAGATAGCATTTTAAAAGAAAAACCATCCATTATAACCTTTATTTTTTCCAGGGATCCTTCACAAGTGACTCTGTTTTCAGGTTCTTTAAGCTGTCGAACTATTTCTTATATCATCTATTTTTCAAACCATAACCATTGGAGGGAATGTGTGTATAACACATAGGGGAAGGAAAACCCTTCTTTTGCAGATATTGGTGGTTTTGTTTTCGCACTATATCATTATACATATATTTCTAAAACTACTCATTTGTGGGCAATGGTATTGTGATATTTAGTTTAGAAATATATTCCTTTGGTTACTCCCCCCCCCCACCCAAAAAGCAGCAAAACCCAGCAACACAATGATAATTGTATGTATATATTTCTCAACCTCATGGAGTAGTTGTTTTTGTAATATGCCAAAGTTGAAATAATTTAACATAATGGGGCCTAGTTTTCAGTACATTTGGTTACATTTAAAGTCTTTCCTGAAAGACCTAGAACATTCCATTCCTCTATTCTGTTCATACTGTGTTATCATTTCCCATCTCATTTCCTGTAATTACTTGATTGAAAATAACCTTTAGTGTTCTAAATCCTAAGGATGCAACTTCTTTGGCTTAAAACCTCCCCACCAATGAGTCCATTCCAAGTCAGAATACACAAAAACATCAGCACTGAAATGACACCCAGTTTAAGGGAGCTTGTTTTTACTGCAAGAGGTACACCACAGGCTGGCTGTCTCCAGGATAAAGGGTTTGCCAGCCAGCGAGCTCTCACATTCCAGGCAGGTGAAATGCTGTTTGTGCCAGGTAAGGCCTTCAGTTTGCAGGTAGTCATCAGAAAATATTATCTGTGAAAGTAAACAAGTCCATTTATCATTCCTTTCCTGAATGTCTTTATTATGAAAACATCACAGAGAGAAACACAAACACAATGCTGTTGACAAGCCAACAGTATAAAGAGTGCATCCATGCTACTTAGCTTTGCACAGAAAATAAATATTTACACATTCCTATAAAGAACAGCGTTCTGGTCCAACCAAGCTGCAGAACAAGTTTAGATTTAGTTCTAAGCATTGCTTAAAACAAATCCTTCAAAAATACCTTTGCTTAGGAGACTTTTTGAATTCACTGAAATATATTGTGTTCTTTATACAATATGTACCTGAAGCAGGAATTCCTTAAGTAATTTATGTTATGTTGTGCTGTGCTGTTCAGACAGTATATAGATAATTGGGAATTGGGAGCTGTCCCCTTAAGGGAATGCCTCATGGGAAATGTAGTTCATGTCATGTGGTCACATCTGTAATCCTGATTGGTCACTGAATTGACCCTTGGTTGGGTTTGGGGAGTTTCCTTTATTCTTGATTGGACCCCAGCATTGTGCTGGTGTCTTTCCCTTTGCTCCATCGTTATGGGATGAAGATAACTATATTTTCACACTATGAAGATGACTATGCAAAGATTGGACATTAGATGAATCTCAACATAACTGTGAGTTATACCTTGAGGATGCCTATTACAATCCAATAAAGAAACTTTGTATGGAAGCCTTTGTAGAGTTTATCTAACTGTCTTTATATTCAGCTAGCAAGTTAAAGACAGAACACTAGCCTCTATGTATTTTATGCCTTCTCTAAATTCTATTTCCTTCTCTTAACAATAGTCCATGCACACTACACAGTTCCCTTTTTGAAATAGCAGCTACTGTATCATAATTCAGGAAGCTCAGAATGCTGTATATTGTTCTTCCTATAGAAACCTAGGAAGGAGCTGAAGCTGTTAGTGAGCTTTGGTAAGAACACAGCCAAATCTCTCTGATCATGGTTAACACTAAACGTTATCCAATCCTAACTATCACAGTGCAATGGTTAACATGTACAAAAATTGGCTAGTCTCATGCATATATGCTACATAGGTGTCAAGAAAGGATATTATGTCCAAACAAAAAAGAACCATCTTATCAGCTGCTGTGAGAAAAAACAACAATGAACAAACATAGGCAAGGACTACTTATTATACTAAGCAGATATTTATTTGATTTCCAAGATCCTTTCAACTCTATAATGAGAGAGAGAGGAAATGGGATGCAGAAAGGATATTTTTAAAATTTGAATTAATTGTATTTACCTTTTTGTAACTAGTTTTTTTTTAAATATTCTCTACAATCTAGCCTGTGGAATTTAGCATTTATTGAGTAATATGAAAGATTTGTTTATTTTTGCTTATTTCCCATATCCCACTTTACTTCATATAATTCTGGCTTTGAAAATATGCACCATGATTGTGAGCTGTGGCAAAAATTAAGCTTGGATTCCGGATGGCTATTCCTTTATAGAAAAGCAAGAATCCTCAGAGATTTCCATAGAATGAGAAACCGAGCCCTATTTGCAAGCCTAGATTTTGATAAATTGTTTAAAAAAGAAACACAGAGATGGAAGAACTATAAACTCAGCTGGGGCGGTTTTCTGAAGGATGTGTTTATATGCTGAATAACATTTATGATGACAGATCTGAGAGGTACAAGAATGCTTATTGGAAATATATTGCTGTAAAACATTTAACTGTATATCTACTTAATATCAGGCTCAAGGGACCAATTTGGAAGGAATAAAATATTTATCCCGGGAATGGTTTTAGTAAGATCAATACAAACTAAATAGCCTATGTGCACATATTAAGGAGACAGGGAAAGAGAAAGTAAGCTAATTCTATCACAAGCTTAGAGCAGTTCTTTTAGAAATAGGATAAGACAGGGAATAGAAGTCAAATGGCATGGAATGGCAGAAATAAGCTCCTGCGGTAGCTTATTTCTGAATGGCAACAGATTATAGAGTTTCTCCACCTTCCTTTCTTGTAAAAATGAAGTCTGTTTTAGACTTTTTAAGCATAAATTCAAGCAAAATATATGTATTTCACATCATGGTATAAAATAAATATGCAGTGTTCTCTGGAAAATTCACTTGTAATTTAAAAAAATCCAGAATAAATGAATAAAAGATAATCCCACTGATTACTATATATAAAAGCACTCTGCACACTTTTAATACCTTTTTGGCAAGTCAACATAGGTCCTGCTTAAAAGGGAAAAAGAGAGGAAAGATGTTGAATAAATGTCTAACTCCTTGCATCTGTTTAGACCATCTCACAATTGCATCCAACACAGACTAGAAAAGAATACCCATTTTCAGAGTAATCATACCTCATCACAAGCTGCGCAGCGTGGCCTTATGCTGTCACAGTAATGCCGTCCACACCAGATGGCTCCATTGTTCCAGAAGTAGATCAAGTCAACAAGTGGTTCAGAGCACTTAGAACACATAAAGCATGCTGGATGCCACTGGTGATTGTAGCCGGCTCGATCTGCATACACTACCGGAAGCTCAGCAGGTAACACCTGCTTACAGAAGTCGCAACACTAGGAAGGAAATCAAAGTCACATAATAATGAATTTCTCTCAATCAGCTTACAGCCAAAAATATGACCTTTTGCTCTTCTCCAGGGATTTCGCATTGATATATGTATGTGCAGCATATTATAACGTTGCCCAACTAAAAAAAAAAAAGCTACCATATATCATTAAAAAAAGTAGCCTGATATAGAAAATGGTGAAGCAAACAGAATAATTTAAAACAAGAAGAACTCTGCTGAATTAGGCCTCTGCTGAATTAATACATTCAGGAAATGTTCTAGTTAACTTTTAGAGTTGAATACATTTAAGGCATCCAAAGTGGAACATCCACAAGCAAGCCTCAATATAAGAATGTGCTGAATATGTCAGTTTAATATGTAAACCTGTCATCGGTTGCTAGGCACTCAGTGGTATTAAAAGGTGATCAGCAGCAGTGCAGACATTGTACTTGAAAATTTTCAATATTGATATAATTCCCAGCACCCTCAACAGGCATAGCTAATGGCAGAGGCTGCTTGGAGTGATAATTCAGCAGCATGTGAAGGGCCAGAGATTTTTCCTGTTATACACAGTATATTTTGAGAGATTCCCACAGTAGATGACAGCATGTTGGCCTGCCCCATGCTAAGAAGTCAATGGTGTCATATATTTTTTTGCCTTTTACACCCAAGTGAAACAAAATAAGTATCCATCCAGTGAGATGGACTTCTCCCTTTAGTCATTTTTGTGGAAACATTCTGTGATGCATTGCAAAAACATATGCTTCTGATGTTCAGAAATGAATCTCCTAAGTAAAAACAAAATAGTCGTGAAATTGTCTCTGTTAATATTAGATTTAGCAATAAAGAAATCTAAATGGATCGCTACTTTAGAGCAGCATAATGAATGGTATTAAAACATATAGTAACTATAGAAAAAGCCTGAGAAAAACCTGGCAGTTAGCAAGAGGTTCACATTTCTTCCAATACCAGAAGTAACAATAATTTTATTCTATTGGCTTCCTAAACGTTGATTTAGGATTTTTGTAAACCATACATGCCAGATACTAACTGAAGTGAGCCACATGCCAATTTCTTACATAAATAAATACATAGATCTATACACACATATACATGCATATTTCCTTGTACAGATTGTAAACAATCTGCTGTTCTATCAAAATACGATTCATGACACTGTCAAATTTCTTTTAAAAAATCTCCTATTTATTACTAGGATTTCCACCTTTCTTCCTATTAAATGATTCAGAATTATTTATCTGTATTAAGTCATAGAGAAATGAAATATGTGATATTTCCTTTTGGATGGGGCTTATACAATGCACCATAGTTTTTACTTCATAGGTGCATTTTTCAGGCACTTTGTCTTGGTAATCTAAAACCGTAGACTGTTGTAGACAACTGTTCTATGACAGCCTAGAGATGCATTTGAAGTTCAGTACCCCAATTTCCCTGAAGTTTCTTAACTTTATCAACTTTAAGATGTTTGGACTTCAACTCCCAGAATTCCCTAGCCAGTCATGCTGGTGGGGGGAATTCTGGGAGTTGAAGTCCACAAGTCTTAACGTTAATATGTTTGAGAAACATTGAGCTACAGAGTGATTTGCTTACCAAGGTCATCTTTCAGCACAGATAAATATACCTTTGGGAGCAAAACAATCATACACCTAGAGTACTGCATCCAGTTTTGTTCACCACATTATAAAAAAGATGTTGAGACTCTAGAAAAAGTACAGAGAAGAGCAACCAGGATGGTTAGGGGACTAAGGCATATGAAGAACAGTTACAGGAACTGGGCTTGGCTAGTCTAGTGAAGAGAAGGACCAGGGGAGCCATGATAGCAGTCTTCCAATATTTGAGGGGCTACCACAGAGAGGAAGGGGTCAAACTATTTTCTAAAGTGCCTGTAGGCCAGACAAGGAATAATGGATGGAAACTGAACAAGGAGAGATTTAACCTGGAAATAAGGAGAAACTTTCTGACAGTGAGAACAATCAACCAATGGAATAGCTTGCCCTTGGAAGTTGTGGGAGCACCATCACTTGAGACCTTCAAGAAGAGATTGGACTGCCATTTGTCAGAAATGGTGTAGGGTCTCCCCCTTGGGGGGGGGGGGTTGGACTAGATGACCTATAAGGTCCCTTCCAACTCTGATTATCTGTTATAGTTTACAATAGTTATGGCAGGCAAATTTAGCGGCAGGACTTCATAGCTCTTCCATTTTCTCTCTACTACTTTTCTCCCTCATCCTCCATCCTGACATTGGCGTCTCATCAGAGATGGTATTCAGCAGGTTCTGACCAGTTCTGGAGAACTGGTAGTGGAAAATTTTGAGAACCAGCCAATACCACCTCTGTCTGGAGATTGTACAGTATCCTTCCCCTGCCACGCCCACCAAGCCACGCCCACAGAACCGGTAATAAAAAAAATCGAATCCCACCACTGCTTCTCATGCCTGCCCCTGCTGTTCTCCAATGTCTGAATGGACTGGCTGAATCAGCTTTTGGAAACAGCTGCATGAAATTAGATTAAGGGCCACAAATTATCCACTCCTTGATCTACATTTCACTCACATTTTTTTACCTAGGCCCAAGCTAAACTTCCCATAAGGCCTCAAGAAAGATCACATATTTTAAATCTTTTCATACAATTAAACAATTTTGCTTTGGAACTGAGAATGAAAAAGCATGATTGTTAAAGAAGAGACTAGATCAGATATTGTGAAGAACAAATACTTCCTTCCTAGCCAAACATCAAGTCTAAGCTTGGATCAAAATTATACAGGAAGGTTGTACTGTTTTCTCCACATGCCAACTCCTTAGTCAATATTGACAAGACTTTCATTTTGTTTCAGGAGAAATGAAAATATTTTCCTCAGAAAAACCTTCTACCCACAACATCCCTTTTTCATAGGAAGTTAAACTTGGTCCATGATGGAATGTCTCAGTCAATTTGTTGTTCTTTTTGTTGTTAAAAGCCAGAGTAAATTTCTCCAGGAAAATACCAGGGTGGCCAACACACGTCTTTCCTTTAATCCATTAGAAGCCTGCAATCCAGAGCAAGTCTTCTAGTAATGATTTGTATCATTACTACTAAAACTTTAAAATAAATTAGAAAGATTTATCCAGTCAGTGAGCAGATGGTGACAAGAGATATAAAAGTTATTTGGGCATTTTATCTCCTTGCAGTGTTAAATCAAGATCCACATTCCAAGAAGATTAATGGAATCATGTAGAGGCACATAGTTTATAGTCCCAGACTCCATGTGCTCACCTCTGAGCTTTATCCCCAGAGTCCCACTAATATTTTCCAGTAAATTCTTCTTTTGAATACAAGAAAAGGGGAAAGTACAATAACAGAATGATAAGAGAGAGAGAGAGAGAGACAGAGAGAGACAGAGACAGAGACAGAGACAGACAGAGACAGACAGACAGACAATATTACATTTACAAAGCAATATAAATATGGAACGTCATAATTCAGGTCATAATTTCCCAAAAATAGGCAATTGCTGGAGCACCTTCAATTAGCTTTTTGTCACATTAGACAGGAAATACTTGAATATTGTCCTGTAATGTTATCAAATAGGCTTAACCTGATTGACTAAGAAATACTTCAAAGCTTCAATATTAAAGACTATGGAAGACTATGTTTTGTTTTGTTTTTTAAGAGACACATAGAGAAGTACAACCTATGATTTCAAGATCTGGAATTAGGATTTACTTGTTATGCCAGGAAAATTTAAGACATTGTGGTTAAGCGAGTGCTGACATTTTTACAGTTACTTTTTACTGGATGGCTTCTGGCTTCAAAAATGCACTGGAGTAGAAAGCAACACCAGTTAGTTGTTTAGTACTGAATATACTATTTTTTTCAGGACAATAACGATTAAACTTCATGTTTTTGCCAAACAACTGAATCAAGATAGTTTAATATTCAACTGATTGTACACTGATTTAAGGTTCTCGGCATACCCCACAATGCACTCTACATGGAAGCTGTTTGTCACCTTAAAGCGAAATGGCTTGGGGCCAGGTTATTTGAAGAAGCATCTTATCTACCTGACCCCTCAGAGTGGGGAGGCAGGTTATATTATTGATTCCCTCTCTTAAGGAGGTCCATCTGGTAGGACCAAGAAGGGCCTTCTCCATGATGGCTCCCTCCCCGTGGAACATCATACCTGATTGGCCCCCACTTTAAGCTCTTTTGAAACTCTGAAAACATATTATAGTTTTGCTAATGGGCCTGAGGATCCCAGGGTGATATGGGGCTGAGTGGTTGGTTTGATTGTTGTTTTCAGAGGGATGGGAATATATTGGAGGATTGTATTGCTTTTATTCTTGTAAATTGCCTGGAGTCACTTTTACTAGGATGGCTATATACGATAGATAGATAGATAGATAGATAGATAGATAGATAGATAGATAGATAATGAAATCATCCCAAGTAGTTCAGGTTATGTACAGGAAGCTTCAGGAACTGTCTCCTCTTATATCAACTTCTATACTCCCTAAAAATTGATGGAAAGTCCTTCTCTTGGGCTTATCATGTGTTTAATACAAGAAAAGAGCATTTTAGTGTCCCTACTTGGAACAGGCTTCTCAGCATTGGCATTCAAAGTTGAACCTCCCTGACGTAGGCCGCCACGTTTACACCAATGGCTTTTCTGCTAATGAGTGACTTTCCTCCACAGGCAGCATAACTGTTAGAAAATATAATATGCTGCTTCTGACTGTTTTATAATTCGCATAAGCAATTTCTGTGTAAGTGTATTTTTTATTAATTTTGCTTTGTCTTTTATACATTTCAATTTGGGTTATTATTTTAAATACTGGAAAGCTGCACTGAGTAATCCTTAAAGCATTTGATAGACAGAATCTAAATCTTTTTAAGTATGCCTGGAATGTATGTACGTATGAACAAATAAATAAACAGCTTAGAAGCAAGCTTTTACCTCAACTTATGCTCTAACAATTATTGGAAATGTAGAGGAGATTGGCAAACAATTATCAAGTCCAGACTTGCAGGCTAGACTGGGGAGTTGAAAAAACATCTTGGAACAAGAATAGCTAAACGCTTTTGCACTGTTGCCAAGAAAGTTACACTAATAAAGTCATCAAGAGTTGAGCTCAAATTGAAGGAGGCTTTACTTTTATCTTCCACATTATTGTATTGGAGCAGGGCAGAAAAAGAGTTGCTTTGGCCAAATGAGAAAGCTAAGAATTTGGGGTTGCTTAAAATTGAATCATTAGTAGGATACCATCCCTCTCTTTGGGAACCCAGTCTGTTTTGCTCCTTCAGCAACAATAATTACTTGTTATTTTCATACAGTACATAACCCATAGATTTTTGACTAGGAACTGCCCAGAGTTGATTATAAAATAAGTGGCTATACAAATGTTTTAAACAAATGAATTAGAACATTCAGCTCTTATTTCAAGCAAAACTATATGGATCCTTGTAGAAATGTGCTGGAAATTATGATTCAGATTATACTTTGATATAGTAAGAAAGATGAAATTCCTCATCTATCAGAAAAATGAGACACTCTGCAGAATTTATGCGATGTCCTGCACTGGGGTTAAAATCCAGAAGATAGCAAGGGCTTCATTAAGGATGTTTTGGAATGTAAAGCCCATTTCATCAAAACCAAGAACTATGTTGTCTGTAGTTTTAGACAGTGACTGTTCAGCAATAACAGAACTTTGTGTTATAAAATTTTGGCACCTTTCACAAAATTCCAACATTGTTCTGATAGATAAAGAGTATCGGAATGAGAAGTGTAAAGATTAAGAAAATAATGGAAAATTTAATACTGTGATGTTTTCTACTAAGAATCTCAAAATATTTAAATAATTACAAAAATATACAGATCCTTGTAGAAATGTGCTGGAAATTATGAATCAGAGTATACTTTGGTATAGTAAGAAAGATGAAATGAATGTCAATAAAAATAACTACAGCCTTAAAAGTCTAAATGAATGCATGAAACAAGTCTCAAAATGCTTAATGTTGTTTTCTTAGAATGCAAAAAACACTTCAGTGGAAAGATTTAGCTGTACAATTATTTTTTAAATGAAGTTAGGCTTTCCACTGATGCTTGTAGAATAGTAGGTAAAGTTTTAAATCTCCCAGAAAATAAACACCACAAACACATATTTACTTGAGGGATGATCTTGTAGTCAAAATTATTTCATCATGCCATGATGGTATTCATAAATACCTTTAATAAAAGCCTCTGTCACAAGTACATTTTTATTTCCTGGGGTGACACAGCCTTTCTTAGACTGAACTGCTTCTATAACAACTTATAATGTAGACTAAGAAAAATATGTTTCTCTAAACCAACCAACAAACAAGCAAAAACATCTCTTTGTGCTCTGGGGAAGCATTGCCAAAACCTATGCAGCAGATTGCAATCACGACTTTCCTATTTACTGTCTCTGCTCATGGCTTTTAAATCGCGTTGGGAGAATTCTGGGAGATGAAGTCCAAATATCTTAAAGCTGCTGAGGTTGAAGCACTGATTTAAATTACAAGGGAAAAAAGAATCCTCTTCTACACTTCTGTTTTTGAAACTGGCTATTTTGAAAGTAATACCTATACAGGTTGCCGATTATAATTTTAACACCAACACTTTGATCAAAGCAGTTCAGATGATCTCTGTCTGATTTTCATCTATTAAAATGCTTCAGGGATGTCTGTCTATCTATCTATCTATCTATCTATCTATCTATCTATCTATCTATCT